GGGGGGGGGGGGGGGGAGGCAAAAGCAGGGGAATGGGGGTCGCGAGTCGCGTTGAACGGAAAGGATTATCGATATCGTCGGGAAATCTCGTGTTCTTATAGCTTAATCCGTTCAAAGGGAAGTCAGCTGTAGTTCGTTACGCGATGGCGTCCAAATAAGGATTGTCGGTTTATTTACTTCTCGATGCAGATCTCAAACAGAAGGAAGGGAGGAAGAGAAGCGCGCGGAGTTCCTGAAGAAATCAATGAGATTACTTCGCCGAGTTTTTAAGACTCCAACGAGATAAAATGGATTTTATTCATGAGCCTCGAAAGTGTATGACGATATAATTCTCTATCCGTTCTTTCATTCGCTTCACGATTCATCGTCGTTTGTTTCGGTAGAAGTAGAAATTTATTCCAAATCGGTTAAACGATCGAGACAATCAGCAATAGTCGTGAGAACAGATTATAGAAGAATATTCAATGTAAGACGAGAATGTACGACGATGTATGAAATTATTCCAGACAAGTTGCATTGAAAACGAGCGATAATCTCTCTCGCGAGAGCGATGAAAGAATGCGCGCGACAGTCAGATTTCTAATAACAAAAATGAAGAGAGCGTAAATAAACGCATATTATAGACATTAACTGAAGCATAACAATGACGCTCGTGTTGTGTCTCGGGATATGAAAATCCAATAAGCAACAGCGAATGCGAATAACAGTTTAACAGTTGCAATTCGTATTTATACCTGAGCGCCGCGAGCGATATGAAAGCAGTTATCGGCGAGATGGTTAGCGAAATTGATTCTACTTCGTGTTGTTCCGTTCTTATTTATCTACCTATTGCACGAGGAACGACGAGACGTTGCGATATCTGCTGATCATTCCATCAAGTTTCAAGTGACATCGTCCTCGCATTTTTATTTCTTCGACTTTCTGTTTGATATCTCGGAAACACACCGCAATACGCGGTGTTGCATATGTATAGCTGCGAATATAAAGCGCCAACTAGATACACGGCGTGAGAGGAACGAAGAAGAGTAAAGTGGAACAATCGCATTTGTTTCCGAAACTCAATACGAAGGAAATGGATGCAAATCGACGGAGACGAACGGCGGGGCTGCGTTGCAACGTTGACGTTCGGCCCAATTATCCGGAGATTGTTCAAAGTCCACTATCTCATTCGAAGTAACGGGAGCAACTTGGATTTAACTTTGCTCAAATCGAAATAGCTGGCGATATTCCATGGTGATTATACCAAACAAAGGAGCGCGCAATAACAATCAAAACTTAGACTCCGAACATCATTTAGGAAAGCAAAGCTCAAACGACGTTCTATTCGGTAAATGTTTGCATATTATTTTACGCCACGATAACGAGGACTATAATTAAGTTTATTAATCTGTTAATGTAAGTTATAGCTTGTAACATCATAAATAAAATCATTAAAGAGTGATGAGGAAGAAATAAAATTGTTCCGAAGTTTTGTCGTGAAACATTTGTGGTTTTACACATAATTATACGTTTGAAGAGAAACAAATTTGCACACTATTCGCAATGCTTCCGTCTCCATGGAGCTAACTGAGTGATATCTGCGCCTCTAACAACCCGTTAAATCAGCCAATCTTTGCATTTCGCAGCGAAAGCCATTGAAAGCCGTGCCAAAACTTTTTCTCGCCTCGCCATTTATTATACATCGCGCGTAAAATCTGCCTCAAGCTTACTCGGCGTTTTATGGTTTTGTCAAGTTTCAGACATCTTTTTGCGATATTCTCAAGTATCATGAATAAAATCGTCAAACTTAAATGTGAATATGAATTTAATTTTTACTTCCACGTTCCAAAGAGACCAAATATATTTCGAGCAAGATTAAACTATAATCAGAAACTACCAATAAAAATGAGATGTTTTAAAGATGTATTCCTTCCGACTTATATTTATAAGGACCGACAGGAATTTAATTATTCCTTAGCATTTATAAGAAGAAAAAGTAGGACTTAATAAAGTTTCATAAATTTCTAATAGTTTAACTTAATCAGACAGTTAAGCCCTTTACGTATTCAGTTGAGAGTCGCACGAGCGTCCCGACGACTACGTAAGATTCTCTCCCTTCATCTCGTCTGCAGACAGGAATCGAAAGGAAAGAGAAGCAGGCACGCGCGAATGTGCACGTGAATTGGGTCGTCCGTAGCCGCCGGTGGAGCCGTTCCGGCGTTGTTCCGATAGAGAGAAGAAAACCGGATACGAACCTGTTGAGGAGCCAGATGGATGGAGAGGCTGCTTATGATGGTGACTTCCAGCTCCACTCGCTCGGAGCCGGCTGTATTGTTCGCGTGGCAGACGTATCTGCCAGCGTCCTCGACCCTGGCCGACTGCAGCACCAGCACGCCGGCACGCGCGTGGATCCTCTCCGAGTTGAAGACCATCGTCGTACCCGAGACGGACTCGCGGAACCAGAGATACGTGGGCGGCGGAATACCCTGCGAGATGCATGACAGCACGATCGTCTCCCCGGTGCGAATCGGTCCCGGGTTCACCCGCTCGTTGAATCGTGGCGGCGACGGATTGCGGTGCTCTGAAACAGAGAAGGACGGCGCGACGTCAGGTGAGAGCGGTTTGTATTGCACTCAGGAGGTTTCAGACTGTGTACAATGTTCCCTGGAATATATATATATATATATATATGAATTTATATCTTTCACGATAGCTAATAATAAGATTAATATCGTGCCTCCAGGATGCGTTCAACTTGGCCCTTTACAGCGTTCCAAAGCATTTTTTATTCACGAAATTAATGACTTTATTATGTATCTAGAATGCTTTGAGGCATCTAATAAACCCCCTTTATCAAGCTTGATAATACGTATTAAAAATGAAATTTACTTTCCGTAAATTTCACCGTTGGCTCTCTCTCTCTCTCTCTCTTTCTCTTTCTCTCTAAGTAATTCTATGCTTCGGAGCTTCCAAGATCGAGAGCACTTGAGAAAGCATCCTAAGACGCGCCAACAAAGATGATGTGATCTTTGCTGCGGCTACGGAAAGTTCTTAAAGCGAAATTTAGAATCTGCTGTAAGTCTCGAAAGTGTTAATGTGATCTTTAAATGTTTTTTCTATTATCCGACACATTAACGTAATTCTTAGGCAAATAGAAAACGATTTTGTTTCGCTTCGTTTATGTCGCACGTTAATCAACGTGACCAACGTGACAAACCTATTTTAGGAAAATTAAAAATGAAAAAAGTGGAATTTCACCTTATGTGTTGAGCACTTTGCTTTTAAACATTTTATGTACATGAAAAATTTTTTAAATGTGAGAAATTAATTTGGACAGTAGAGAGTAAAAGCTCGCTGTGTAACGCTCGCTTATAAGAAAAGTGTACGACGCGCAACAGATTCCTTTAGAAAATTGGCAAGAAATGTAAACACATCCCCTCCCATCGCCAACAATCGTCGCTCATCGATGAGAGTCAGGCGATCACATAGACAAAACATTGGGAAGCTTCAAGACGGTTAAATTTACCTTTGTGTCTCGCGAACTTTTCCGGATGTTTCCATTCAGTTCCGGGCCAGCGAGCGATACATGCATACCGCGTACTACGTGTGTCAGTGCGTTATCTATTGTTCCTTTCGGGCGATTGAACTATCCGGTCGGTCTTTTGAGATACTTAATTATACTGCAATTCTAGACAAAATCGTAAACCTCGTAACTTGTTCTCGTAAGACTCGTATGAGGATAGACGATTTTATGATTTACTCGTACGTTTGCTTAGAATTACAGCATTAGTATCGTATTATTTAAGGAGAGCATACTTAACGCTATCGCGTTATTTAACACGTGTATTTTCGATTGAATTATGTCTACGCGAGTGTCAGTGTTATGATGGAGCAGTCAAGATGTTGGGTCCAGAAATCAGGACGAAGGACGCAGAATGCCAAGACGTGGGCGACGATTCATCATATACTTTCAAGGTGTGTCAAATTATTTATTATACAGAAAGTTCCTGCTTTTAAGTTGTTTGACAAACTCACCGAAATACCTGAATCGAAATTTAGGCCGACATTCATAGTTTGTCATCATTCGACATATAATTGTAGCTTCCTTTGATTAATCATCAACTTGTACGTGTATTTCTTGTACACTTGTACACTTTCGTGTATATTTGTACACTATTTCATGCAGGAAACACTTATTCAAACAGCCGAATAATAACCCGTATGAATCTGTAATTGATTATGTTTTTAATTAAAGACCTAAGATAATTAGTAATTCTATGAATACCGGCCTTATATAAAATATAATATAAATTTTGCAAGTGCTGATTTTCACGTCTAATAATTCTTCTTTGACCGCGATTTTGTCGACGCCTTTTTTGTTTCTGTTTATTTTTGTTATTGCATCAAATCTAGAGTTAAATCACTATTTTTAAACAGCATTATTGGGTAGTATAACTGTTACTTTCGCTTTTCCAGCTTCATATCAGCTCTTTTAAAAGCTACAAATCTTATCGAAATGTCCATGAAAAAGAAAAGAAAAACAAAAAAAGAGAAAAATAGAAAAAAGAGGAAAAAGAAGAAAAATTAGGAAGAAATGAGATTGGAGTTTTATTCTTTTATCCATACATATTAATCCTCAATAATTAATTTAATATCTGCTTATCTACATAAATCTCGTTTGAATATAATCACGTTTCGCCAACTGCCAATCGTAAATACACACACACACACACACACACACACACACACACACACACACACACACACACACA